TGGGGTCTCGGTCTGGATTTTTTTCACAAATGTATGGAATTTATGTAAATTCCATATACAGCGGAACCTCTGGTCATGACCATAATTCGTTCCATATCTTTGGTGATTTCTTCATCTTCTAATGTTTTGTCTTCAGGAATTTCTGGGTTAAGGGTCATCTTTGATCGCCACTTGAGTATGTGTTTGTGACCAGATTAAAAAAAATTGTGAATTTTTTGGTTGGAACTTGATTTGGGCATAGTCAGAAGCGTTCATGACCGGAGGTTCTACTGTACATTTTATATCAAATATGTACATTCATATATTTATGTATGTTAAATACTATACATATAAATTCATATTCAGTGGATAATAGGCTTCAATAGCAATAGCACTTAGACTTATATACTGCTTCATAGTGCTTTACAGCAGTTTACAGTCCCAGCAATCTCGGTTCTCATTTTACTGATCTTGGAAGCTGGAAGACTGAGTCAACCTTGAGCTAGTCAGGATCAAACTCCTGACTGTGGGCAGAATTATCCTGCCAAACTGCATTCTAATCAATGCACCACCATACCACCATGGCTCATTTAACGAAAATGAGATGACCCAGAGTGTAACACAAACATAACAAAATCCAAAATGTAAATAAATATCCTTTAATGCCTCCAACTTGGCCCCACTGTTCAATAATACCCAGTTGGAGATAAAACGTACTCAAAAATAGTCTTCAAAAGAAAGCAATACAGTCCGAATTTAATGAGCAGATAAAGGTGAAATAAAAAACCAAACAAACTACAAAGACAAAATTTCCACAACGGAACAGGAGAAGTATTTACCAAATTCAAGGAGATAACAAGGCACAGTCTGTTGGAAGGACACCAACCAAGATAACTTCAGACCAAAATAAAACACACTTTGCTTCTGGCAACCTGTGTTTTAACCGTCTCTCTTTTATACTCGTCCCCCCAGCTGCAACCAATTAGGAGGATCATTGCCAGTTCCTTTCTCACAAGCCAAGTTGCCCTGCATGTCCTAGGATGCAGAAGAGATGGGCCTGGTTCTTCCTCTGACTACCCAGCCAGCCTCTGCCCTTCCTCAGCCTCCTCCACAACCTCCGGAGCCACACCTCCACTCCCTGTCCACTGTTCCTCCACTCCCTCAGAGTCTGACTCTACCAAGGGCATGACAGGAAACTCCTTTCCCCATTTCTGTTAAATTCACATTTTATGCAAATATTTTTCTTTCTTGTATCTAGATCAAGATAATCTGACCAGTATATGTCAAGCACCAGAACTCACCCATGAGCTATACATGTAACTGTTGTAGTTAAGCAATGAGAGGCTGAACCAGGGCATGGATGCAACAATACTTTATTATGTCAATAAAGGACTGAACATGCTAACCAAGCCTGGGACTGGCTCGCAGCGATCAGCGGCTGACCGAACCCCGCAGCCTGCTTTTATAGCCGGCTGCTGGGGAAAGCCAGCCAATGAGGGACAGCAAACGCCCCCGCAGCGTGAGCGGACCTGAGAGGGAACTCTTGCAAGTTCCAGGGACATAACAGTAACATAAATGGTTTTGGGTAGCTGAGGGGCTAGAATCATTCCTATATGTGGTGGTCAGTTTATTTTTAAAAGTACTGGTAATATTTTTATCTTGTAGAAGATTTTAAAAATTGAAAATAAGGAGAAGAAATGGAGATTAAAACTAAAGTTAGAGATCTTACAAAATAATGAGAAAGGAAAGAATACACTTAGTGTCACCCCGCATTCTGCTATGAAAGTTTTTGTGGTTTTTATGGGATAAAGGTTAATAAACAACCATCACAGAAGGTTGCATTATTGAATCTGAACATTAGCTTTCAACAACTGCATTGTTAAAATTATTTTAATCCAATGAATTATCTGGGGTGCAAATTACATATATAGTGAAATATACTTGCCCTTTTACTATATATTAATTATGGTTCTGATTCTCATTTAACATTCTTAATATAAAAAGAGCTTTTCTCTATCCTTGTGCTAGAGGATAAATTTTTGTTTATCTTCCATTTTTATTGCAATGTAATAATGCATATATATATGTTTTCTTAAGTTTTTGCGGGTACTTACATGTATGGTATTCAGCTTTGTTCAGGTATTTTCCCACGTCATTGTAGTTGTGCTTTTAAAATTGTAGCAATGTTTCGGCAGAATCTCATCTGCCATCATCAGGCTTCTCCTTTTGCACATATTATTACTATATATATATATAGTACTAAATCGGAACATGGGGTCAGTCATGTGTTTAATTTAGTGGAAAAATTGTAACAACATATTCATTGCATACTTCATGCATAGCCTTTCCTTCCTTCCTTCCTTCCTTCCTTCCTTCCTTCCTTCCTTCCTTCCTTCCTTCCCTGTTCTAGTAATTCTTTTTCTGTATGGCTTCTGGTCATTTTCTCCAGGTTGCAGAGCGGAATTACAGCCGTGTGTCTTTCTATAGTGAATCCAACAGTGATATGTCAAGTCCCCGCACAAGCGCTTGCCTACCCAAACAAAAGGTAGACTGCCACATAATGCCAAACTACTCATTGCTAGACACTTTACCCTCTGTTACAACCATGCCATTTTCCAATTCTCACTCTGAAGTTCACAGGCTCCAAATTTGTTTCAAATTTCTCAGGAAAAAAACAATAGGCCTATAAGTAATAACATCTGGTGATGTAAAATATTTGTCAGCTCTAGGACTAGCTACCTTTGCTTGGTTACTTCAAGGCCCTTTTTGCGTTAGGTTAAAATGGGAAACTGAAAAATAAACTATATTTCCAAGCTAACATTTCAGACATATTTGCTGAAATTTAAATCTCAGTGAATAGAAAGGAATTTTGTATGACTAGATATAAACAAGATAACTGAGTACAGGTAGTCCTCGACTTACAACCACAATTGTATTCTGGGATTTAGGAATAACAGAAAACCAAACTGCAAGGAAAATCCCAGCTAAGTCATCCTAAGTCATCAATGCATTCAGTCCAATTTAAGTTGTATTTGAATAATCTTTAAATAACTGCAAGGTGTCTAATTTCACTCTTACTAAAGCTAAAGGCTTCCATGCTGCTTTATGTGACAGTCTCCTTTTGCACATATTATTGTAGACTTCATCTTCATTAATTTAAAATGAATGAAAATATAACTGCATGCTACGGAGTATTTAGACTTTCATTCTGGACCACCTATGTGTTGGTCATACATGTATTTATCACTAATTCTTACTAATTTTTCTTGGAAAAAATTACTACTGATACAGTATTATAAGGTTTACTAGGCTCTACTAATTCATTCTTTTCAAGCGTTGCCCTATGTACTAGTTCTGCCATTGCAAAATGTATAACAGTTAGAATAGTCAACCTTTTTTTTTCACCACCTCTTTAGCTATTATTTTTGATCAGTCTTCTGGGGATTGTTTTTGCCACCAACAGCTCTTTGTGTGCTTTCTTAATGTTTAGCTGCCTGTGTATGTTCATGGCCTAATACGAAAGGATTCCCTTTTGGATCTGTTCCTTTGAGAGTTCTGCTTTGAAATCTAACCTTGAAAGTCAATTGGTAATCACATTTGGGTTTTAATTTATTATATAGCATTTTCATGAAGAGATCGCATTTCAGATGGTGGTCAGCGCAGGCATAGCGAGAGAATCAGTCTTCAAATATTCTTGGTTCTTCTTTGAATTGCTGGTAAGATTTTGTATGGTCCTTTTATTTTCAGTAAAGGAAATGACAGCATATGATTTGATGTTCAACTCAAATAAAATAGTACAGGGATGTCAAACTCAAGGCCTGGGGGCCCGATCCAGCCCACGAGGTGTTTAGATCTGGCCCACCGGGCCACCCTGGAAACTACAAAGGACAGGCCCATGGTTCCTCTGGCAATGAAAACATAGCTTGGGAGGACTGCCCATGGCCCTCCCAAGCTTCATTTTCGCTGCAGAGGGTTGCAGGAGGCTGTTTCAGCCAAAAATTGAGCTTGGGAGCCCATTTGCACTGGCAGAACATTTGGGCCACCACAGGTGCCCACGACATGAGTGACATTGATCTGGCCATGCCTACCCTGGCCCTGCAAAGTCAAACACAATTCTGATGCGGCCCTCAATGAAACTGAGTTTGACACCCCTGAAAGAGAACAAATATTTCAGCATTTTCTTTCTTCCCATCACTACGTAATAAAGAAACTTCGGAGCAAACAATCAATGTCTACAGCATGTTCAGGAGAGAAGTTATGAAATGGGAATAGCTTTCAATGAAGTAATAGTATTCTTCTAGTCAATTAAAATAAAATTTTAATTTTAGATTATTAATCTAATTGACATCTGCATCAAATACGCAAAATAATAAACTGGCTGAAAGGAACTGTCTGTTTAGTAAGTGAAAAATTATCCCTAAAGTAATATACATACATATGCACGTTAAAAAAATTATGCTGTTTAGAGTTACCCAGTGTCACATCAAACACATTAAAAATATGTGACTGTGCAGAACACTGGAAGCATTTTATTGATGTTCTAATTTTGTAATCATGAGCAGCAGAGTAGACAACCCCTAATGTTGGGTCCCTGTGGCTCCTAGTGGTTAAATTGCATTTTTTTAAAATTATGTATAAGTAAAAGCAGGAAATGTATATACTACTCATTGTAATAGTTGAGCAATACACCTAATATGGTTCCTATTATACACCTAAGAATTTTAGAATGGAATCGCACATTTAAGTTTAACAGGTGCATTGCAAGTTCTCATTTTAGCTGCAGAATTTTTGGAATAGAATTTACAAATGTTAAGTTACCTCTCCATGAAATATAGAGAAAGGATTCTTCACAAAGTGTGGATTCTTTCAATTCTACTATTTACTGTTATTTACAAACTCACATTTGATAAACGATGCTGATGTTTTTTTGAGGTAAAAAGCATGGCTCAGTATGTTGACAATGTACGGAAGCAGGATGTTCCCCGCAAAGGTCGATTTTCCAATCGCTTCAAAGATGACATCCGCACAATTGTCAGTGTTGTCACCTCAGAGGTTGCTGCACTTTCAATCAAGACCCAGAAGGTAATTTTATAATCTAGAATAAACAGAACCTTGAAAAAAACTCTCAATTGTATAATTTTATTCCACGGAAATTGTTCCTGTACCTCAGTATCAAATCAAAATCAACCATTATTTATGTTAGAATTCTAGTTCATTGTCTTTTTTTTCTGATTACCAGACAGGGGCATTTGAATAACATCATTTTCAGGGAGTTCATATTTTAGGGAAACTTAGAACCATGGTGGACAGGAAATGCAGGGTTATCGTGAATTTAGGGCTGCATTTTGTGTATAGTAGGGTCAGAATTTTCAATTAGTTTAATCAATACAGTGATAATATCCAGCTATATATCTCCACCCTTGGTGAACTAAGCGATGCTGCCAATGTCCTATCCTAATGTCTAAAGGTTTTAGGGGTTTCAATGGGAAACAATAGATTTTGGCTCATCCCTGGCAAGACCAAACCCTGGCAAGACCTCTCAAGATCAAACTCCAGGCTGTGGGCAGAATTACCCTGCAATACTGCATTCTAACCACTGCACCACCAGGTTTCCAAAGATGGTAGAAACTCGTATCTTTTTACATACTTCATAAATTTAATCTGAATAATATCAACATCCAATCAGATTAAAATATCTTATTCTAATTTATCTGTTGCAATGTCCAAAATGTCAGTTGAGAAATTTATTTATTTATTTAATTTATATTGCCACCTATTTGCCCATGGCGACTCAAGGCGGCTTACACAATGTAAAACCATATTTAAAACAAAAATAAAAATAAAAAAACAATAGAAACTAACAACAGGAATCAAATAAATTAATAAAGTACAATAGAACAAAATTTGGGGGAAAAAAACCACCTCCCACCTCCCGCCCCAACGACAGCAGATCACACTAGCCATTTGATGGCCTCCATCCCTCTCTGGGTTCCCCAGGCCCGCTGGCAAAACCAGGTCTTCAGTGCCTTTGACAAGAATGCTAGAGTGGGGGCCATTCTAATCTCTGGGGGAATGATATTCCAGAGAGAGGGAGCCACCACGGAGAAGGCCCTTCTTCCAGGTCCCACCAGGTGTATCTCCCTCAGGGATGGGACCCGCAACATTCCCTGCCTCCTCGCTCTAATGGGTCTAATGATAATAATGGATATTATCAGATGTCTGCTCTATGTTTTATAAATCCATTTGTTATAATTAGTTTACCAAACAAGCCTGAAATTTACAGATTTTCCCTAATCGTTATTACATTTTTGACATCTACATTCTTTTATGAAACTCAATCCGGCTTTATATTGCCAAACATGTGTCAAGTATTTGTGCTGTCTGTGGCATGTAGGAATCTTAGAATGAATCTAGAATGAATTGCACATGATGAGCCAATTGCATTAACCTAACTAACTATAGTCAAAGTAAGTCAGAATGTTGGTTTCTGGGCCACTAACTGCATGCCAACATAATTTTTTATTCTTCTGGGTATTGATGAACCTGTTTGTGTAGTCCATCATGTTATGATACATCTAAACACAGTGGAAAAAAGTTTATGTGACAGGTTTCCTCACCTGTCATTTTAATTCATGTATAATTATATTAATCTATAATTATTGTGCAGATTTTACCTCAGTATATAACACATTTGGTTTTGGGCAATAATCTTTCTTTCTTTTTTTAAGGAAAGTGAACAGGCAGAAAAGATCAACATTAGCTTGGCATTTTTCCTATACGATCTTCTTTCTTTAATGGATCGTGGATTTGTGTTTAACCTCATCAAAAACTACTGCAATCAGGTAGGCCTCGTTATAAAAATCCCTCAAATAAAGGCCATGCAATAGTACATCCCAAAATATAATTTTCAAATGTGCAGAGATTGCAATTTGATTTTGGATTACTATCTTAAGTGTAAAACAGAGAGAGGTCCATTACCCATAAGAAAAATTCAAATATCCTATTACAGAAATATCTTACTTAGCTGGCTGAAAATCAGATAATAGGGTTTGATATTTTACATTCCTAAAGTCTCCATTGGACAGGATGGTAACTAAAGCAAAAAAATGGAAGCTTTTAAAGTGAGGCTTAAGTTATCATGCCATGGTTCTCTTAAACATAGACTAAGTATGCTATGGTTCTCTTAAACATAGTAACGGGTATAAGGCCAGAAGGATTGAAATATCCTGTAGATGCAGTAGCTTGTTTCTTTTTGTCTACAACTCATGGGGAAACTCCTCAGTACAATCTCACACCAATAGGATCCAAGTTGTACATTTGGAGAATAGTCTCCTTCTAAGACCAGCAGCATAGAGACAGGGCTAGTATAGATTTTTTTTTTCCTCAGGCCTACTCCTATCCAAGATTCTTTTTTTTTGGCTGATGGAAAGTTTAAGAATTCACAAGTTAACAGTCTATTTTGTGACTTTGAAGTGGCCATAAGTATGAAATCTCCAATTCTCCAATTTACCATCACTTCCATTAACTCTCACTCATTCATGCTAATATTGATGGGAACTGGAAGATTGTCAAAATGTGAGGGAGATCATAACAGCTTATTGATTAAATCATTCAAATCATCTGTCAGGGTTCCAGCAAACACACCCAAAGATGTGCCCTTAAGATGCTCCCAAAATGGCTTCAGCCAAAAAATGGCTTCAGGGCTGACATCAGCTTGATAATTAATTGGTGAATATCTCATTCAAAAAGATTCCTACATTAGTCTTCTTACATATGGAAAACTGACTTGTCAGGCCAAACAATTAACTCAAATGTCTAGACTAGAACCTGTATGTCGGAAGAACATGTGTATGATCCTCTAGATGCTCCCTCAGTTGGCACGGACCAACATATGTGCAATCATATCATCTTCCTGAATAAGTGAACTAGTTTTCCGTTGGACAGAACAATTCCTACGCCCAACGTTTATCAATTTTAGACATAAAAATCCTCCCAACTTTTTCAGATACTTTCTTTAACATTCTTTGCAGGCTACAGAGGTTTCAAACCAGTGCTGTGGAATTTTGCTTTTCTCATAGGGCTTCTTTGGAATTAAAAGATCAATTTTGCATTGATACATTTTACTGATACAGTTCAGTTCTACTAAGGATTTTGCCAGTGACAAGTGCCATGGAATTTAAAACACAATATTTTTCAATTACAGAGATGAAGAAAGTATATTACAACAGAATTATTTTCTAACAAGAATTTTGGCATTAACAGAAAATAATCCATTTTATTAAATGTTGCCACTAGGGGGTCTAATAGATATATACTTAATGTGATGCATTATTAAATGGAACAATTGAAAATGTTTATTGCTTTTTTATTGATCTCTTTCAAGATAAAGTATTTCTCTCTGTATGCAAGTATTCATCATGTTTTCTTTGCAATTATTCCTTTCTAGTTGTCAAATAAAATGAGTAATATCCCAGTGTTGTTGTCCATGAGGCTGGAGTTCCTACAAATTCTCTGCAGTCATGAACATTACCTCAATTTGAATCTTTTCTTTCTGACTTCAGGATGTGCTCCAACATCTCCCTCTCCTTCTATATCATCCCAGGTACTTCCCCTATTTTTTAAAAAAATAAAAATACAATTTAATAATATTGGAAGTACCTTTTTTAGCAGATACAGAATATATTGATGATTGAGTCTTCATATTTCTTCTCATTAATTATACATTAATATTTTATGTCATAATGAGTTTATCATCCTTTCCCCCATACAGCTGTGTAGGTGGGAAAGCAAGAGTATGTTTGCTGACATCACCTCTTAACTTTGTCATATTCGGTATGAATGAATGAATGCAATTGCATATACATAGGCCAGATAATCCATTAAACACGTAGAATGCAGGAATAAATTATCAAACCACAATTCCTTTCTCCTCATGTACATTCAACATACATAGAAAAGGGGCATCTAGGGATATTTGTAAGCGCTGGTGTTTTCTAGGAAAGTATCTATTAGGAGGAATTGGAGAATTGGATTCCATTTTTTTTTTTAAAAAAGCAGAATCTAGTTTGTCTGAGAGGTAACCATTCAGGTCAATCTTCTGCCATATAAGAATGGAAAAGAAATCTGTTCAGATCAGTTCTGTTAAATTTAAAAAAAACACCTCCTTATATATTCAGCTAAGAGTGTTTGTGCACAAATATATTCAAACCCTTTTACATTCAGGAATAACCCACAAAGTGGCTGAAGTCAACAGCAGCTTCAGCTTCTTTGACATGATTTAATATTGTCAGTTGAACCTTTGCCGACTAAGAGCATTTCTGTATATGATTATCAGTTTCCACCTTACCTGTGTATATACAGGTATAAATTCATTCCATTAAATTTCTGAATTTTTCTTTGCTTATATTTATTTTTTTATTTTGTCTTTATGATACAAAAATACTTTACAGAGCCAAAGATATGTTTTACTCTTCCTTTGATTTAATAAATTCAATTCAATTTTCGTATGAAATGTTTTAGAGATGAAATTAAAGAGATTTTGTTTATTACGAAGTAGAGATACTTAAAAAAGAACTTTATGTCAAGTCATTCTATTTTTTTTAAACTGCAGCTAACAAATCTATGCTTTGGATTTCAATATAAGCATAGTGTTTGTCACTTTCATTTATTATAGAATTCAAGTTCCTGCTCAAGTTTCCAGGATCAAAAACTTTCCAGCATGTTTGAGCTTACAGCAGATTATCGGCAGCAGCACTTCATCACGGGGCTACTTTTCACAGAGTTGGCAGCTACCTTGGATGCAGAAGGGGAGGGGTAGGTCTCATTTTCCCCCCAGAGATTTGGATGTGTAAGCTTGAGAATTATAGATACGGAATTAGGTTTCAGTCAAGTATTCCTGAAATACTTTAATAACTCAGTTCTTCTTTTCATACAGCCAGGATCAGCCAGCTTGATCTATTTTGTTAAGGTGCCAGGCTAGAAACCAGGAGGCTGTGAGTTCTAGTCCTACCTTTAGCTATCATGAAAGCCAGCAAGGTGAACTTGGGCCAGTCACTGTCTCTCAGCCCAACTATCTCATAGGATTTTTTTCTTGTGGGAGAAATAGGAAGAGGAAGGAGTATTATGTATATTCGCCACCTTGAGTTGTTTATAAAGTAATAAAGGTGGGATATAAATTTAATAAATCAATAAAATAAATAAAAATCAGGGTCAAGGGCAGTCAACCCTAAATTGTTGCAAACCAGATTAGGTCCTATAGTAGTCTGAGATAGACTTTAAATAAACAGAAAGTGAGTTGCCTGCTGTGTTGACAAGATCAAAACCCATAGGCAGGTTTGTAGAAAATTTTACAACTTTTATCCACTTGGGGATTTAGGATCAAGCCAAGTCATAATACTATTAAATGCTTATATGATGATATGATTAAATGTTGGAAAATATGTAGACTGAGAATCATTTCATGGATAGGCCACAATTGGGTATGTTCGTAGGTTCAGTCATATTTTTCCATAGGTTTGGATTATGCACTACAGGTAGTCCTCAACTTATGATCACAATTGAGCCCAACTTTTCTGTTGATAATCAAGACAGTGGTTGAGTGAGTTTTGCTCCATTTTATGACCTTACTTGCCACAATCACCACAGTTGTTAAATTAGTAACGTGGTTATTAAATGAATCTGTCTTCCCAATTGACTTTGCTTGTCAGAAGGTCCCAAAAGATGATCACATGAGCCTGGGACGCTGCAACTGCCATAAATACATGCCAGTTACCAAGGATTCAAATATTGATCATGTGACCATGGGCAGGCTGCAATGGTCATAAGGAAAAATGGCCTTAAGTCACTTTTTTCAGTGCCATTGTAACTTCAGTCACTACAGAAATGGTTGTAAGTCAAAGACTATCTGTATTCTAAATATCAAAGCAAATTAAGAAGCATTTTACTTTAACATATTGTATGAATTCAGCCGCTTCTAACATTTGGACTAGTGTTATAGCCTGAGCTCAACATACCAAAAAGGATAAACAACTGTGTCTATATTATTTTACTAGCCCAGGATGCTCCCATATGCATAGTGTGACCTGGAAATGTTTTGTTAAACCCCAAGCAGTGTGAAAATAGTATTTTTTTTTAATTTAAAAGAAAGAATGCACAATCTATGGCTTAAATTCTTTTCCTAAAGAAGACATATTTAATTTGTCTCTCAAAATGCTCCCATATTCATTATCCTGTTATTTCTTGGATTATTCTATGATTAAGCAATTAAAAGGCTCTTGGACTTTTTTGTCCTCTTGACAGAATAAGCAAGGTACAGAGGAAAGCTGTCAGCGCTGTCCACAGCTTGATGAGTTCACATGACTTGGATAAATCCTGCTTGAAGTCAGAAATTAAAGTGAAAATTGCTGCACTTTATCTGCCTCTGGTTGGCATAATTCTGGATGCCCTTCCTCAATTACATGATTTTACAGGCAAGAAATGATGATGATGATGATGATGATGATGATGATGATGATGACATACTTAATGTCTTCTAGATGGTGTATAAAAATGAAAAAGTTGACTGTTTTTCCCTTTTGACCTACCATCTACTAGATGTGGGTTGTTTTGACTTCTGTGGCATTCAACCCAGAGCAGAAATTCAGGAATTTGTCATTACAGTATAAGATGATGATTTTCCCCCCACACAAAATATAATTGCCTAAGTGATAATGGACAATGTAAGGACATAATTTATTGGCTGTGTTTATTATAAGGTGTGCTATCATAAGGTGTGCCTTGCAAATCAAGATGGTTAACTCCACAAAATACCTTAAGCCACAAACAAGCAAACTTCATGAGGGTTTAGCACTTTTCTCTCAAGCGAGCCACAGAGTGTTTCCATAGGTGCGAAGCTCATGCAGGAGATGAGAACAATCTGATTTCTGCTCATTGCAGGAAAACAGAAGAAAAGAAACAATGGCAACTGCAGCTTTTGCATACATACACACCCCATTCTGCATTTAAAATGAAATGATTATTCTCTCAATATTTTGAAATGAAACTGTTCCTATTACTTAAAATTCCTCTTGCCTTAGCTGAACCCGCTCTGTATATTCCCAGCTCCCTGGACAGATTCCCCCACCCCACCCCCAGTTTTATAATTCGTCCTCTGTCCTTTGGAGTCCTGTAGATGGCGCTCCATCCCCAACACTTCTTACATTGCTGAGAAGGACTGTCAGAAGGTGGATCATTAGGAAAGCCCATTAATGATAATTAGTTGGTCATTATGAAAGCCCAGAAAATTTAGTTTAATAAACTATGGTTCAGTGAACAATGGGTGACAGTATCATACAAACAGAATCAATATCTTTTCATCGACATTATTGGACTCATGAATGGGATGTAGTGGTAAAACAAATGTGGAAAAGCAACTCCACAGAGAATTGTTACTCTATTAAGTGCCCATAGCAAACAGAGAGAGAGATATTAGGATGACACAGTACTTTGGATCTGATTTTTAAAAAAAAAACATTCAAATGTGCAAATCTAGCACCTGTCTGCCAGTTTGCAATGCAGGTGTGTCTTTTCAAAATCCTATAAAACTCCTCAGGACCCCATCATTTTTGTACTCCAAGGTCATCTTCTAAGGATCTGGTTTTAATAAGATGTGGATAGAGTCCTTCAGAGGGGAAAAAAACCCTTGTTATCTGTGAGGCAAGACAATTTCCATTTCTTTCCTAGCCTACTGGCTATGCACCAGACAAGATCATCTGTGTTCAGTTTCCAACTTTCTTCCTGTGTAAATGTGATAAAGATGTCATTCAATCCAGGTACATATTTTCAAGAACAGTAATTTTAACACTTTGAGTGGTAATGGTGTTAGCACCAACAATTTACATACGTGCAGCAAATATCTCTCAGCTTTTGTTTTCTCAATTTTTTCTTGTGTACTGTCTATTTTAGTGTTGTATACACCCATCTAAATGACTTTCTCAATGCCTAAAGGCTTTTGAGAGTGCATTTGTTGTGTTTTTTCCCATCTGTTGTTTCGGTGTCAGGCAGGACTGAATGGAGAAATTTATGCCATGGCTGATCCTGCTCTGAGGTCATATAATTCAGGACAAGCAAAGGGAACAACATAAAATATTGGTAAAAGAGCAAACAGAGGGGGCAGTTTTAATCAATTATAGTCAGAGGGAAAACAAGGACTGAAAAGGAAAACAAGAGAAGGAAGCAGATAGATTGAAGAAAGGGAACAAAGGTCACATAATCACAGAAACTAAAGCTATAAAGTATTACTTGGTTTTAAAACACTTGTGAACACTGCTAGAGAGAAATTATCTGTTCTAAAATTTGCCAAGTAAAGAAATTCGTTAATTCTAATCTCTTTCTGTTATCTAGCTGTGAGAACTGGTAATTTTACACCTCATCAGCTGTAGTTTTATACTAACTATTCTGTCTCATTGTTGTTCAAATATAGAAAACCAGTCTGTAATTAACCAGTGGTTAAAATGCTACAATAGACATCAGGAAACTGTGAGTTGCAATCTTCCATTAGGCACGTAAAGTGCTAAAGTCACCCTCTTTTAGCCCAGCAAACCTCACAGGGATATTGTGGGAAAAATAGGAAGA